TCATGCCACAAAACATCGGAAACGGATTGTGTCTGAACAGATGTCGTCTACCTGATGTCGAACTCGTTCAACGCAATTGTGGACGATAATGCAGATGGTGAAGTTCCATATCGGAAGAAACAGCCGCGTCGCCTTGAGAGGTCACAGCAGATCGGCTTCTTGCATCTGCATTTCATTGTTTTCTGGTGTCCCCACGGGCCCCGCCAACCCAATGTAAGCACGTCGTGAAGGAGTTGTCCTGTTGCTTGGCACGTGTCCGCGAGCCTCAGCTCTGAGGACACTAGGTTCACTGGTCGTCGGGATGGCTCTCGAAACTCAAGCGGTCATTAGGGCATGCTCGTGGTCCTGATTCATTCAGGGGCATTGATCGACATATCCTCCCCATATCGATGTCTCACACATCTGTCTTGTTGCATGGTCTCCGGCTTGCGTGAGCATCGGTGAGTGGCGGCCTGTCTGACAAGACGGTGAGAGGACCGAGGGGGGAGCCTCTGTGCACCAGGTGCGCGACATCGTGGGCGGTCGGCTGGCCGCGCGGAAGTCGCTGAGCCACCTCTGGGACAGCATGTCGCGCGCAAGGCTGGAGTATCAATGGGGCGCCCTGCACAAGAGGCCCCCCGCACCGCCCTGGGGGGGAGGGAGTGGTCACGTGGGTGGTCGCTCCCAGGTCTCAGCACGAGGCTGCTCTCAGAGAAGCACTGCCATCATGGCAGGACCATTTGAGGTATCGTGTCAGCTGCACCGGGCCCAGGCCTCTTGCGTTTCGTTTTTCTGTTGTTGCCTTTTGTTGTTTCTTTTTGTTGAGTTCTCACTTCTGAAGCAAGATTCTTGTTGATTCCCCCTCTGGGGCACATGAATTGTCTTTTTAAATTAAAATGCTCCTCCCGGTGTTCGCATCCGTTTTTTTTTTTTTTTTTTTTTTTTTTTTTTTTTTTTTTGTAAAAAAAAAAAGGGACAGCGAGGGGTCACCAAACTGGGCCCTTGGCCCCCGAGTTACAACAACAACGGCTCCCGCCTGATACTTCCTCACAATTTGCTTCAGATGCGCGCTCTCGCGCAGGACTCCCTCATAACTTATGTAGGAATCGCGCTCTCGCGTGGGACTTCTTCGCAATTTATACAGGCGTCGCGCCTCCAACCCTTCGGAATCACGCTCTCACCTTGGTTTTTTCCCTACCTAGGCTCTCCCTACCTAGGCTCTACTTAAAGGGGTGGGCAGTGGAAATCGCACCAGGCGGTTCCCCCGGTCCCCTGAGGGCCAAGCAAAAGCAACAACAAAGGTAAAAGCAAACGCGCGGTTCCCCCAGTTGCGCTCCCTGGGTGCCAAGCAAAAGCACAAGCAAAGGCAAAAGTGAAGGCAGAAGCGAAGGCAAAGCAAAAGCATAGCATAGCATAGCATAGCATAGCATAGCATAGCATAGCATAGCGCAGCATAGCATAGCGCAGCATAGCATAGCATAGCCTAGCCTAGCCTAGCCCAGCTAAGCATTGCGCAGCATAGCATAGCATAGCATATCATAGCATAGCAGAGCAGAGCAGAGCATAGCATAGCATAGCATAGCGCAGCACAGCATCCACTAGTGCTGCTGCTGCGAAATTGCAGATGTAGATGTATATGTAGGTGTAGGTGTAGATATGGATGTAGGTGTAGATGTAGATGTAGATGTAGGTGTAGATGTAGGTGTAGATGTAGATGTAGATGTGAGTCTCGCTCTTGATGTAGACGTAGATGTAGATGCAGGTGTAGATGTAGATGTAGCTGTAGGTGTAGATGTAAATGCAGGTCTAGATGTAGATGTAGGTGTCGATGTAGATGTAGGTGTAGATACAGATGTAGATGTAAATAACTCCCCAGTGCCCCGCCCTCATCTCACCGCCTGCTTGCTTTTGCTGCTGTCTCGGCGACTTGCCGCCTGCTTCTGCTGCTGCTTCACTTACGGCGTGGCGTCGGCGGTTCTGGCGCTACTACTACTACTACTACTACTACTACTACTACTACTACTACTACTACTACTACTACTACTACTACTACTACTACTACTACTACTACTACTACTACTACTACTACTACGACTACGACTACGACTACGACTACTACTACTACTACTACTACTACTACTACTACTACTACTACTACTACTACTACTTACTACTACTACTACTTACTACTACTACTACTACTACTACTACTACTACTACTACTACTACTACTACTACTACTACTACTACTACTACTACTACTACTACTACTACTACTACTACTACTACTACTACTACTACTACTACTACTACTACTACTACTACTACTACTACTACTACTACTACTACTACTACTACTACTACTACTACTACTACTACTACTACTACTACGACTACTACTACTACTACTACTACTACTACTACTACTACTACTACTACTACTACTACTACTACTACTACTACTACTACTACTACTACTACTACTATTACGACTACTACGACTACTACTACGACTACTACT